GTGAACGAGGCCCTATTTTCAAACTCTTGGAACATTTTAAGAGTTTACCCGTTCACTTCGCTGATTCGAGTTTGTAATTCGAGTTGAGATGTGATTTTATGTGAGAGCTTTTTACTGTAGCAAAAAAGTTAGATGTGACTGTTTCTGAGAGCTTTTTACTGTAGCAAAACTCGAATTCTAAACTCGAATCGGCGAAATGAACGAGACCTAATTGTACTAAAAGCTTCTTCGCCCTATCACTTTACAAACACTAGGCAACAAAAAAAATTACGAGTCCATTACATAACCTTTTGTGTGCGTGTGTGTGTCTATAATTTTGTTTATTGGTTACACAATCGGACATATTGTCATCACTTGAAATTTGAGAGATTATTGAGACTTGGGAAGAATTTCGTCGTGAGAGAAGAACATAAAAAGACATACAAAAACTAAAAGAAAAACAAAAAAGAAGAGAAGAAAAAAAGAGCCACATATACATGTGTATATATGTGTGTATATATATGTATATATATATATATATATATATATATATATATATATATATAAATGAAGAAAAAGATCCATACATTGCAAGAGAAAGCAGCCTGGGTTATAGCCTAGTCCACACGCCATAAGGTGCACCCAAAAATGTTGGTTTTTCTTGTTGTAGATTTATATACTTAGATCTCGTTCGTTTCACCGATTTAAGTTTTCAGTTTTAGATTTTTACAGTAAAAAATTCTCAAAAAATGTCACATCTAACTTTTTTTATTACAGTAAAAAACTCTCAAAAAATATTATATCTCAACTCGAATTAAAAACTTAATCTACAAAATGAACGAACCCTTATTTTATTATTAATGAAATAGTGATCAAACAGCCTTCCTAACCAAGAGTAATGATGATTAATCATACTCAACACGAGGCTAAATTTTTAAATAACACAATAATTAACAAAGAAAAATAAAGAAATCAAGGAGAGAGAGGGAACGCCTAGTTGGAAAGCCATCAAAGACTCTTCTTTCCGTATATTCAGTGTCGGCCCTTCAACAAAAGTGGCACCTTTTCTTTTTATATTTGGGAGAATTTGGTCATAGGCTAAATATATATATATATATATATATATATATATATATGATTCCATTAGAAATATTCTTTGTTTAGCAAAATAATAATAATAATAATAGAAATATTATTTTTATTTTGAATTAGAACATTATTTGTAATGCCTCAATTCCTATGGGGTCTATTTTGTGGGATCCTGACATAGTCGGGTCTTATACTCGTTACTCATATGTACTATCCTCTTCGGACACCTAGCGGCCCTCAGGGATTTTTTCACGTCCCCAAAAAATTTCTTCACGTTCCCAACACTTGAACCCAAGACCTCCCTCCTTATAAGGTTCTTAAGTCAAATGTCGGTTTCTTTGAACTTAAAAACCTCATTTGGACTTCAGATGACAAAGTTATGCCCAAAATACTGAAGTATGTTCTGAAGTCAAATTTTCGCTCCTTTTATTCCATTTTAGCTTCAATCTACAAAAACAAAATAAAACACATTAAACTAACAAAAATACTTGAAAACATTGGAACTCAAAGGTACTTAATTTTTCAGTAAATAATCTCCTCATCATCGATACCAATTGACCTCCATCAAATTAGAACATTATTTGTCCATTTAAAACATGTCAATTTTGTTGTCTAATTTTGGTGTCTAACCAATTAAATCATGTTACGTCATGTAATAAATTTAGACTGTTTTTTAACTTACTTTTTTATGCTTATCATGGGATGATGTGTTATTATTTAATTAATTAGACACTAATGAAGACACTAAAAATTAGACAGCATATTTGAATCCGCATTAATAGAGTAGTTTTTCTTAAAAGAAAATTTGTAGGTTATGTTGTAGATTATATTGTTTTGTACTATTTAAATTTTCGTGGCTTGTTTGATGAATGTGAGTAATTTTTTCACATAAGATGTACTATTTTTAACAAGGACTCTTTTAAATTAGTCTTAAAATTTAATCGAACAACTAAAACATCATACCTTATCAGTGTTGTAAAATAACCTACTTTTTTTTAATTATTTTTACATGATATCAAAGAATTTTTCTTGTTATATTTTTTTTTTCTTGTTCTGTCTAAATTGGCTTATTTTGGGGTGTGATTGGCAAATAGGGTAATGCAAATTCGGCACCGGCAAAACCGTCCCATGGAAAGCACATATTGTGGCTTTTTGGTCAGATCCCAAGTTCCACCCCCATAACCGGCCATACCCTACTTTCTCAACTAAAAATTGGATTTTATATAATTTTAAAGCCAAACATGGTCCACATTTGATGGTCTTAGGGGAAAACTTGTTTAAAGATGGTACAATAATTGGGCCCCACCACACTTTGTTCTCATTTGATAGTCTTTCTCAATTTTATAGGTGTCACAAGCGTGCCGTTTCATGATTCCAATTTCTTGATCTGCCTTTCTTTTTTCCTTCTTTTTATTTGTTCCCTTCTTTTTTTTTCCCCCTCTTTTTAGCTTTATACCATGTTATCTTTAGATCAATGGCATTCACTAAATCACTAGTAAATTTGCCATTACTGCATGGTGCTTCAACTTCACCAACAATAATAGTACATTAAGAGCCCGTTTGGTTGGATGATTCGTTCTCTGATTCGAATCATGGTTCATGGTTCGCTACAATATTTTCTCTCACAAAAAACACACGTAAATCGAAAATAATTCTAATCTCATGGTTCTAATTCATGAACCAAACAGACTCTAAGATGTATATCCATATTATATCTTATATCTATTGATGTAAGGCCTCAACTTCCTATGGGGTTCATCTTACAGACCCCAGCATAGTCGGATCTTATACTCGTTATAAGACCCGATTATGCCTGGGTCCCGCAAAGTGGACCCACCCCATAAGGGTTCGTTTAGCACGAGGATTTAAACCAGGGTGATTCTAATTATGATTCTGGAATCAGAATCATGATTTATGATTTTAGGTTTAAATCATGATTTTAAAACTATGATTCAGAATCAGGGGTTTGAATCACTTTAAATTGAGAGAGAGGGGGGAGGGGGGTTAGAATCATGATTTGATTTGAGCTAATTTAAAACATCATATCAGATTCTGAATCATCCAAACTAAACACTGATTCTGAATCATGATTTTAAATTACTGAACTAGGATCCAGAATCATGATTCTGGATCAGTAAGGGTAAAAAACAGAAAAATGATAAGAATATGATGCTTCTTCAAAATCACATAACATAACATTTTGCGTAAAAAGATGTGAAATTTCGGGCAAAGGTAAATATCATAATAATATGTCATAAAAGAAAGTTTCGCACAACAATAATATGATATGACGCTAAGAAATACATATCACGAATGGTAGGATAAATGAAAAATCCATCAATAATTATAATAAGATATGATGCTAAGAAATACTCACGATAAGGTTTTTTTTTTTTTTTTTTTTTTTCCATTATAGAAGTCTCCAAATTGTAAATTTTGCTCAACATTATATTAAGTTTTTAATAGCAGCATTGCATTTTTGACATGTGGACTATACCCATTTGACATTCCAAGGCGCCAAATTTGGTCCAAACTTTATTCTATGGTTTGAGATCTATTGTTTGGTCTAAATTCCACCATCAATTTCATTCAAGAAACGGAGGTCAAGTCGAAAAAATTATAATAAAAATTAAAAAATGGATGAGAAGTCCATTTCATCCCACTCGCCATTACAATTAGTTTAATTAAGAAAAGCAAAAAAGTTTAGAAGCAATCAAAAGCCGTCTCCTGGGACATGGGGGTGTGGTTGTCCAACTTGTCATTCTATATCAAAAAGCTTGCTCCCACATACCCCACACAGCTTGTCATCCTTATTTTTATACATAATTATAGATTATATATTCTATAAATATATAATTTATAAGGAATTGGTAAGATAAATGCCCGATATTGATGTTGAAAAACGATAACTTATACATTTTACGTTGAAACTTATAAACTTCAAATATTAGAGTTGTATATACAAGATAAATAATAATTTTTCGAATATTAGAGTTGTATATACAAGATAAATAATAATTTTTTGAATTTTAAAATGTATACAATAACTTGTGTATTTGAACCATATACAGACATAGACATGTATACGTGTATATAAAGTTTTCATGGTGTCTAGAGATGAATTCCAGACATCTCTCCGGAATATGATAACATGCACATTTGACATTAGAATTTACGAATTTTGAATGTTAAAAGTTGTATAAATTATAATAGACTCGTTAATTTTTAAAAGAACACAATAATTGGCTTATTTAAATGATGTACATATAAACTTTAGACACGAAAATTACAATAGATTTGTGAATCTGCGTCATTGCCAAAGGACCATACTTCTTTCCACCGTTGTACATAAAAACGAGAAGCGTGATATCCATTTAATTTAATAGGATATGTAACACCAATAAAATATATTCCACCAAAATATTCTTCATAATATATGTATATGTATATATATATATATATTAAGCATATATGAATAAGAAGTACTACTGTCAACCACATGATGATGAAAGGAGGCATGAGAAAAATATACAAAAGTTGGTGATTGGCTGACTTTGGACTTTTGCTGTTTACATTGGTTTGGGCGGTGAGAGAGCTGTTCTTATGGTTTAAGCAAAAGCCCCACAGAAGCAGCAGAGCAGGTGCTTTCTCTTCTCTCTCTCTCTCTCATGCTGCCATGTCAGCATCCTACGTGGACTTAACAAAGAAGTTGATACTTGATATGGAGAGAGAGAGAGAGAGAGAGAGTGAATGAGAGGAGAGAGAAAGAGAAGAGAGAGAAGTAGTAGTAGTAGTAGAAGAAGAAGAGCTGGTAAGAGGTGGCTGCTGTTATGCCTTTTGCTTTTGAATTCCCTTTACAACATTCCCTTTTAAAACTTCCCAAGTTTTTGCAATTTCACAAATTCATCATTCCCTCAACAACACAACACAATACCATTTCTCCTCTCTCTCTCTCTCTCTCTCTCTCTCTGAATCCAATTTCTAAGTTTTGATGATCATTTAGATCTTCAAACATGGTAAGTTTCATTTATGAATAATGGGGTCTTTTCTTTTTTCTTTCTTTTAAATTTTGCTTTCTGATATGTGATCATCAAGAAAAGAAAGGAATGAAATCGAGTTTTGTTTGGGTGTGGTGATGATTCAGGGAACTCCAGTGAACATCATAGTTGGATCACATGTCTGGGCTGAGGATCAAGAGGCTGCTTGGATTGATGGTGAAGTCACGCAAATCAAAGGCAGAGAAGCCACCATTGTTACTACTAATGGCAAGAATGTAAGATTCTATCTCCGAGGCTCTTGTGTTTTAGTCACCTTACAAAATATCTGATTTTTGTCACCTAAAAACCATAAACTTGAATTTTTCAATCCATTTCTTTCGTGTTGTTATCGATATATTTTGTGTTCGAAGAAAATGAAAATATACCAGATTCATAGGAAGAGTTTTGATCAATTAGAAAGTTAAAGAAGGAACAAAGAGGAAAAAAAAAAAGTTAAGAAGTTGGATGATATTAGAAGTTGCCACCTTTATAGAAGCTAGAATTTGAAGGTTTATGATTTTTATATATATATATATGAAACATTCTTTTTCTTGATATTGAAAATAGTACGAAGGAGAAAACAAATGAACTTAGCAATCTGCCAAGCTTCAAAAGACATGTTAAAACTGAACTAGTCCAAAGATCCAAGTATTTCTGTTTTGCTTATGGAATTCTGCAATTTGAAAATGATAATAAAATATATATCATATATATATATATATATATGTTTCAATCCAGAGACATAGAATTTACCATCCTCAGCACCAAACTTGAACTTTTAAACTCCAAAATATGTTAGTGCGCATTATAAGTAGTCAAAGTGGTAACACTTGCATTTTTCTTCAACCTCAGATAGTTGCAGAAATTTCAAGTATATATCCGAAAGACACAGAAGCACCACCAGCAGGTGTTGATGACATGACCAAGTTGGCTTACCTCCATGAACCCGGAGTGCTATACAATCTCTCCTGTCGATTTTCTCTCAACGAGATATACGTGAGTCGATTTTCTATACACCAAACACCTTCAGCAGTAATTCCACAGGACTAGAAAATACATGACACATATACAAATGTTGTATCTGACATCTAGTGATGACATATGAACAGACTTACACCGGAAACATTCTAATTGCGGTGAATCCCTTCCGAAGACTTCCACATTTGTATGATGTCCACATGATGGAGCAGTACAAGGGAGCTGCTTTCGGGGAGCTAAGTCCGCATCTTTTCGCTGTCGCGGACACATGCTACAGGTACCATTAATCACAGCAGAAGTTCCTTAGGTGGCGCCAAAAGGATCGTTGTAGCGAGCTTTGATCTTGATCATGTACCTCTTGAACAGATAAATTAATCAGTTAATTATCTCATGTCAGGGCAATGATAAATGAGAAAGGAAGTCAATCCATTTTGGTAAGTGGAGAAAGTGGAGCTGGTAAAACAGAAACAACAAAAATGCTTATGAGATATCTTGCATTCATGGGGGGCAGAACAGGCACTGAAGGAAGGACAGTTGAACAACAAGTTTTAGAGGTGAGTTTTTGGACTACTATTTCTAATAGGATTTGGACAGTTTAAAGACTCTGAGCTTCCATCTTAAAAGGTCAACCTTTAATTGGGTGGCCCAGCATCTTTTTAAGTTGGTATTTATTTATTTATTTAATCGGTATGAGACTCGGGTTTATATACTCTTTACAATTTCTACTATGGATTATGTGGTATAGTTCATTTAATAAAGATTAACACTTTCACTTCTTCAGTCCAATCCAGTACTAGAAGCTTTTGGAAATGCCAAGACAGTAAAAAACAACAATTCAAGGTGAAATATTTGGCCCCTCCAAGTTTGTATTATGTTTCCTATCCATTATGTCTAATCTGGTTAAACTTACAAAAGTTTGTGTCTATTTCTAACCAGTCGTTTCGGGAAATTCGTCGAGATTCAATTTGACAAGTATGGCAAGATCTCCGGGGCTGCTATTCGCACATATCTTCTCGAAAGGTCGCGTGTTTGTCAAGTGTCCGATCCGGAGAGAAACTACCATTGTTTTTACATGCTTTGTGCAGCACCACCAGAGGTGATCTTCCCTTTCATTCAAACAAATTCAGCTTCCAAATGACATACCATATATACATATATATACATATATATACACATATAGCTAAGAAATGTTGTATTACAGGATGTCAAGAAGTTCAAGTTAGGGGATCCAAGACAATTTCACTATCTTAATCAGTCCAGTTGTTATGAAGTGGCAAATGTTGATGATGCAAGGGAGTATTTGGAAACCAGAAATGCCATGGATATTGTAGGGATCAGTCAAGAAGAACAGGTGATCACTTTTTGGTTACTGATATTTGTTTGACATTTTATTTTATCTTTCACTAAGAGTGTGAACATTATTTTGTTTGACATTTTTTTTTTAAATCTTTGACTAAGAGTGAATTTTTTTTCTTTTTTCCCTTCCATAGGAGGCTATATTTAGAGTGGTGGCTGCAATCCTTCATCTTGGAAACATTGACTTCATCAAAGGGAAAGATGTCGATTCTTCGAAATTGAAAGATGATAAATCACTGAACCATCTCAAAACAGCAGCAGAGCTACTCAAGTTAGAGCTCGAATCGAGTTTTCATTCCCGAAGGAAAGTTAAATATCCTTGTTTCTTATGACGTCAATGTTTTGTTTTCAGGTGTGATGAGACGTCGCTGGAAGCCTCGCTTTGCAAGCGTGTCATAGTGACGCCTGACGGCAATATTACAAAACCATTAGACCCGGCGGCTGCTGCCTTAAATCGTGATGCCTTGGCAAAAACCATTTACTCTAGACTATTTGATTGGTAAGCACGTTATATCAATTCCACATTGAACTAGGCACTAGGAAGTGAAAATAAAAAATCCAATGTTGGCCTCACTTAAGCTTTTTGGAGAATTCGTAATCGATCTAGCATGGTGTTGAGAACACGCGGTCCTAAATTCGAATCCTTTGTAATTGCGCACAGAATAAACACGCTACTTAGAGTTCTGAGTTACACCAAGTGCTCAAGCAAGAAAGGTAGACCAATATAAATCAGTCAGACTTCTGAACTAAGCTTTTACTGCTAGAGAAAATGATATCAAGTTGATGGTTCAATAACCAAACACTATCAAATATCGTTGGTGGTGTTGGCACAGCGGCGATGGACGATCTATCATTACTGTTGATTCTCATTACTGTTGCGAGGCTGAAATTATGTTTCTCATCGGTTTGCAAAATATGGCTTGAGCTGATGTGACTTTGGACTCCCTGGATGTTAGTATGAGCCAAGTTTCTTTTCGCTCCACCTGTGGTCCTAATAGATTGTTAAGTGACCGTTGGGTTGGTTAAGTGATAACACCACTGACCCCTTTTCGAGTGCCAAAAAAAAAAAAAAAAAAAACACTATCATAACCTGTTAAACCTTCTCTCAACCAACAATAACCTAGCCCTTATATCATCTTGTAAACCTAATTTAATGTGGAAATATTCATATAGTTTACAACAAGCTGGTTCTTTATGGCAGGATTGTTGACAAGATAAACAGCTCAATTGGTCAAGATCCAAATGCAGAAAGCTTAATTGGAGTCCTTGATATATATGGCTTTGAAAGCTTCAAGATAAACAGGTACAGAATATCACCATCCATGTGCTTATGAAAGTGAATATCTTTTGACCTTTAGAAAAAATATATATGTACCTAATATAATATTTTATTTATTAGTTTTGAGCAGCTGTGTATCAACCTCACAAATGAAAAGTTACAACAACATTTCAATCAGGTAAGAATAACATTTTCTAATATAATTTCAAAGTTCAACATCCATACTTTTCATGCAAATGCTAATAGAAATAATCCACATTTTTTTTTTTTTTTTGAAATAGTAATCCCCTTTTTTCTTTGCAGCATGTATTCAAAATGGAGCAAGAAGAATACACAAAAGAAGAAATAAACTGGAGCTATGTGGAATTTGTGGATAACCAGGATGTTTTAGATCTTATTGAGAAGGTATAAACTCTCATCAGATAATCATTACACAATCAATGAATATATTGTATAAAACCATGCAATATAACATAACGCTTTGTTTCTTGCTTGCAGAAACCTGGTGGCATAATTGCCCTTCTTGATGAGGCTTGGTATGTTCTGCTGTTTACTTGCAACTTCAATAACATCTCATTATTGAAAAAAGAGAAATTTTACAAACTCAGAAAAACGAAAAATTCGGTGGATGGCCGGTTTTGGCCATCTCCTTGTAATTTATGGCCAATTTGTTTTTTTAGCTAAATGGCCGTTTTTTAGTTTGTTGGAACTTCAGTAGTCAACCCCTGATATACCATTGGTTTGTCACTGATAAACCAGTTTATTACTGATTTCATAATTGTTTATCAATGATCGATTGGTCTATTAGTGATAAACGATCAAGTTAATCAATAATAAACCACCAGCTTAATCAGTAATAAATCACAAATTAGTAATCACAGCTATTTGATCACTACTAATAAACTGTGAATATGATCACTTTTGGTGCAGTATGTTTCCCAAGTCAACCCATGAGACATTCGCACAGAAGATGTATCAGATTTATAAAGCGCACAAGCGTTTCAGCAAGCCAAAACTTGCTCGAACGGACTTCACAATCAACCATTATGCCGGAGATGTAACAAAATTTTCACATTGCATTATTGATCATGTAGATTTAAAATGTTAATAATTTGTTAAATTCAATAAGCCTTCTTGATCATCAGGTCACGTACCAAGCAGATTACTTTCTTGATAAAAACAAGGATTATGTAGTGGCAGAACATCAAGCTCTACTAGATGCCTCCAAGTGCTCATTTGTTGCAAATCTATTCCCTCAACTGCCTGAAGAGTCATCAAAACAATCGAAATTCTCTTCCATAGGCACCCGCTTCAAGGTAATCACACCGTTTTAACTATGAAACATTGTGTCGTATTCTACTAATTGCGTCAACACAACTTGCTTATGAATCATACCATTTTACCTCAGCAACAACTTCAGTCTTTAATGGAAACACTGAACACAACCGAGCCACATTACATCAGATGTGTGAAGCCCAACACAGTTTTGAAGCCTGGAATTTTTGAGAACTTCAATGTCTTAAACCAATTGAGATGTGGAGTAAGTCAGAGTCTAATGTCTCACTGAATGAACTTGAAATTTTTTCACTTTTTTTTTATACTAATTTAATAACGTCAAAAAAATTTATTGCATTTGTGGTCTTGCAGGGTGTTCTAGAGGCAATTAGGATTAGTTGCGCTGGATATCCAACAAAAAGAACGTTCGATGAGTTTCTCGACCGTTTTGGAATGCTGGCTCCTGATGTTCTTGACGGGTAAACGTATACACAAACAAAAACATTTTTATAACATCTATATCCATGCATAGCCAAAATGCATACGTGCGTATAAGTTTGATATCTTTCTGTACAAGAATTATCGTTGTGAGAAACATAGAAATAAAAAAGTACAGCATTCTTTTAGAAAAAGAAAGAGGTCCCTATTCCAATGATTTCTTAGAATACAAGGAACCCGCTTGGAAGTACCATTTCTTAATGGAAAAAATTGTGAACCATAATATTGGTTTTGATGTTTCAGAATGAGCTATCTTTGTCTTTTACTACTTAAAAGACATGTAATTACGTAATGAGATCAAAACATTATTATTAATTGACTGCCTTGTTTTGTATAGGTCTGATGAGAAATCAGCATGTATAGCTATTTGTGACAGAATGGGATTAAAGGGATATCAGGTAAATCTAGACATAAAATTGTTTATACTGTATGAAAAGGAATGAGGTCGGTTTCCATTTTTATCCCCTCCTCAATTTCTTACCTGCTGTTGTATGGTAGATTGGGAAGACAAAGGTATTTCTGCGAGCTGGACAAATGGCCGAGCTAGATGCACGAAGAACCGAAATCTTGGCTAATGCGGCACGACTCTTACAAAGGCAGATCCGAACGCATCTAACCAGAAAAGTGTTCATTGCCCAGAAAAGAGCTGCAATTGATATGCAGAAATATTGGAGAGGTTACTCCTTTTTTTTT